AGATGGCTCAACATGATTCCAGCCTCAAAGGAGCTATTTGGTATACCTATATAATGACTTGATTTCTACTTTCCTTTAGTCCTTTAGTCCTTATGTAATTAATATTATTGTTATTATTATCAATGTTTTGAATATCATAATGTTATTAGCAGTACTAATTGTATTAAAGAAAAAAAAAAATAGAATCATTCTGTAAAGCAAAGAAAAGGGTAAGCAGGAGAGATAGATAAGACTAGTAGTTGCCTTGTTGGTGATTAAGCACTATGTGTAATGACACTTAACCTAATTCTGTCTGGAAAATGTGATATTGACTGTGGTATCATTTTGTGAAATGTAGCTACACATAGATACCACCAAGGAATCCGCTAATAGACTACATGCCCTCAATTGATTATTATTATTGGCACTATGATTATTACAGTGTTATTGATTATACTAATAGCAATATAAGATAGAATAATATATTTCTGAAAATCTAGGTAAAGGGTAAACACATGAGATAGGTGACTAAGTACTTGTGGAGCTATCTATGATTAAATACAATTTATAAACTAAACTCAATGTGGTTATGGAATATATGTACATGCCATCCACAGTGGCAATGGCTATTAAACTAAAAGATTCACTGGACATAGAATCTGTTTTTGACATCTTGGCACCATAGAGTTAAGAATAGAAATTTTGTATGTGTTTGTTTGTTTGCATTCTTTTTCACAGTAGAACTTCTAGATAGTTTCCTTGGATGATGTGAGTAGATATCAGTGCTGAGCATAGATTTTGAAGTTTTATGTTTCTGGTATGGACTTTAATTCATTAATTTATTTTTCTAGGTCAGATGAGTTATACAACTTCTTCCAGCTCTGGGCTCCTGATATTTATGGAGAACTACAGGAGGAAGAGATATTCTCTAAGGGATTCATCCTCGTAGAAGAGGACACAGAACTCTGGGATGAGGAGGAGCATGAGGAAGGGGAAATTGGTGACAGTATAGGAGGAGAGCTCAAGGACATGACCAAAGAATCTTGGGAGGTAAGGTTGGAAATTCAACATGCAGAAGCAGGAAAGGGGTATGGTTTTAAGTATATTTGTTTCTCTCTTCAGAATTGATGAAATGTAAAAAATATGAAAGAAAATGCTGGATAATAGAAATTTCTAAATAATGAACTAATATATATATATATATATATATATATATATATATATATATATATATATATATATATATATATATATATATATATATATAATATATATAATATATATAATATATATAATATATATAATATATAATATATATAATATATATATATATATATATATATATATATAATATATATAATATATATATATATATAATATATATAATATATATAATATATATATATATGTATACATATATATATATATATATATATATATATATATATATATATATATATATATATATATATATATATATATATATATATATATATATATATATATATATATATATATATATATATATATATATATATATATGTATACATATATATATATATATATATATATATATATATATATATATATATATATATATATATATATATATGTATACATATATATATATATATATATATATATATATATATATATATATATATATATATATATATATAATATATATATATATATATATATATATATATATATGTATATATATATTTATATATATATATATATATATGTATATATATATATATGTATATATATATATAATTATACATATATATATATATATACATATATATATATATATATATATATATAATATATATATATATATATATATATATATATATATATATATATATACATATATATATATATATATATATATATATATGTATACATATATATATATATATATATAATCTAT